AAAAAAAAAAAAAAAAAAAAAAATGACTTTTCAAGTCATGGTACCAAGTAACTACTAGAACTGGTTTAAACAGATTGAATCAGCCTCAGTGAATATGCTGCAAACTAACCAATTAGTGATGGCCCCTTAATTCTGAAAGTCAGTCAATCAAGAACTGGACTCACTCCAATGACCACGCAAATCTGAGTGTCAACCAATCAACAACTGACTCACTTGAGTGAAAATGTTTCTACAGCTAACATTAACTCACTTCTGCCTTTAAAAGTTTGCCAATCTTTGAACTTCCTAATTCCCAGAAACCCTGTAAAGCTAGTAGTCTGTTCTGTTCAGGGGAGGCACTATCTAACCAGGATAAGCTTTTTCCTTAAGTAATCAAGTAACTTCAACTTCGTGGGTTTTTTTCAGATATAAATGTTATTTCTCATATTTTCACAATTTCACTTAAGACCCTCATTTGGCATCATTCCAAGGAACTTTTAGACAAACAGGTATACTGAATGGTTCTTTGTGCCCAACTTTTGTTTATTCTTTAAATTTGCTATCAGATGAATCAGTCTTAACAATGATGGCACTACTAATTTGGTTCCTTGAGCTCACATTGCTGAATTAATTTTGTTAACCTAAAATTTGTAACCAAGTAGGTCTTTGTATAAGGCCCTTTGGTTTTGACTTGGAGTTGTATGTACTATTTGGTAAATACGTTTGCCATTAGTTTAATTCTTCAGCTACCTGCTTAGTTCTGTTCATCTATTTGTGAAAAGTTTTCTCTCATGTGTTTAGTTTTTTTTGTCCTGGGCTATCTGGTTTCCATTTCTTGAATAAGGGAGTGCTCTATAGGGAATGGATGGAGGCTGGGCCCAGTAATCCTCCAGTCCAATTCAAGCTGGTCCCAAGCACTCAAGGATGATGATAAGTAAAACCAATGACCAACTGAGGCAAAGGGAAGTGATTGATCAAACTTTACCTGTAGTTACCTACAAAGCCTTCATGATGGCAATCATTATCTTACTGACTTACAAAGATACTCATTTTTGTTTAATCTACATCATAAAGTTAAATGTGGGGCTGTTGGTTATATGGCCCCTTCCTAACCTATGCAAGGTCAGGAAACCTAAGAATGTTTACAACATACTGGTTTAAAAAAAATTTCTTAAATTATTTTTATTTCAAAATATTAGGCAGTACAACTGTTCTTGTTACATGGATAAATTGTATAATGCTGAAGTCATGGCTTTCAGTGTGCCCATCACCAGAATAGTGTACACTGTACCTAACAGATAAGTTTTTATTCCTCACCCTCCCCTTGAAATTTTTTTTTAAGCATTCGAGTCATTTTTATTTAGGAATACTTACATCCAGTGAAACAAGCTTATCTCAAGCATTACAGCTAAGTGAGTTTTAACATATGCCAACATCCATGTAATCTTTAAACATACCCCTCATTAAGATTTAAAACACTTCTATCACCCATATAAGTTCCAACTTTTTCCCAATTGGTTACCCCAATACCGTTTCTTTTTTTTGAGACAGAGTCTCACTCTTTTGCCTGGGCTAG